CCGCGGGTTTGATCTCGCTGATGGGAAGCGAATTACCGCGAATGCGGGCGATGATCAACGTGGTGCGGCCATCCTTCGAAACAAGATGCCCGCCGAGCATCGGGTGCGCCAGCACTTCTTCGCGGGCGGCGGCGAACTCCTCGGGCGGAGCATCTTTCTTGGGCAGAATCGATTCCAACGGGCGCCCGGGCCGCACGACGACCACGTCGTCCATGCTGCGAACGCTTTCGATCTCGTCGATCTGCTTGATCTCGTTAGTCAGCGACCGCAGCATGGAAACGCCTTTCGGCGTGAAGAGCTGATCGCTTTCGACCACTACGATGCAGTCGCCGTCGTCGGATCCGAAGTCGGCGAAGAGTTCTTGCAGTAGTTCGAAGTCGGCCTGATTCGAACGAAAGATGTTCAGTGGGAGGTCGTCGAACCCAACCCGGGTGAGGCCGAAGATGGCCACGGCCGTCATGACGAAGACGAAGCCGACGAGCAAGATGCGGTGCCGAGCGAACCACTCAGCGAAACCATTCATGCGCACGTCGACGTTCCTCTCGTCCCGAATTGCCTGCAGACCACCTCTCAAGGCAAGGCGCGAATTCTAGCACGCCCCACCGGTGGCCGACTAGCACGGTCGGCGCGGGGGAATTCGAAAGGAAATCGGGGGCCACTGCTGGCTTGTCCAGCAGTGTGGAGTGCTGGTCGAGCTCTGGATCCAATGCGGTCACCGCTTAACAGTTTCACCGCACCCGATTGAGCGGTTGGGAGAACGTATCCCTCGAAAAAGACAACTGGATGAAAGTCCTCCGAGCACCGCTGGACAAGCCAGCGGTGGCACCCCGTCCAGTTGCGCCCGCCCGCCTAAACTTTGCCGGTTTCGATCGTGCGTAATGCCGCTCGTGAGAGGATGCGGGTGGCTTCGATGAAGAAGGCGAAGCGTTCGTCTTTGGTGAGGCCCTGGTGATAGCGGTAGTAAATCTGTTGGGCGATCACCGCGGTTTTGAAGAAAGCGAAGGCCAGGTAGAACACCATGTTCGAAGTGTCGCGGCCGGTTTGTTTGGCGTAGTGGTCGACCAGTTGCTGGCGGTTCAGGCAGCCGGGCTCGGTGGTGGGCCCCCAGCGGATGAGTTGCAAGTCGTCGGGATCGTCGGGGTCGATCCAGTAGCTAATGGCCGTGCCGAGGTCCATCAGCGAATCGCCGAGCGTGGCCATCTCCCAGTCGAGCACGCCGACAATCTTCGTCAGGTCGTCGGCGGCCAGCATCACGTTATCGAATTTGTAATCGTTGTGAATCAGCGAAGCGGCTCCGCCGGAGGGCATGTTCTCGGCAAGCCATTTGGTGACGGGCTCGACTTCGGCAATCTCATCGGTCTGTGAACCGTAATAGCGCTTGGTCCAACCGGAGACTTGCCGTTCGACGTAACCCTCGGGCTTCCCGAGATCGGCCAGGCCGATCTTCTCGTAGTCCAGGGCATGCAGGTCGGCCAGGTTGTCGATGAACGATTCGCTCATCGAGCGGGCCAACTCCGGGGAGATGGTCAGACCCGAGGGGAGGTCTTTGCGGAGGATCACTCCTTCGATCCGTCGCATGAGATAGAACGGGGCTCCCATCACGTCGGGGTCTTCGCAGTAAACCAGCGGTTCGGGCGCGGGACTGTAGGCAGCGTGTAGTTTCGAGAGCACCCGATATTCACGACCCATGTCGTGGGCCGACTTCACTTTGCTACCGAACGGCGGGCGGCGGAGCACGAACTGATCGTCGCCGATGTTGATGCAGTACGTCAGGTTCGAGTGACCGGCGGGAAACTGCTCGATGGTCAGCGGGCCTTCGAACTGCGGCAGTTCTTTACTGAGGTACGCGGCCAGCTTGTCGGCGTCGAGTTCTTCGCCGGAGCGAACGTTGCGGGTTTTGTCGAGAAACTCACTTGGCATGGGACCCACCGTCTATTGTTGTTCGCCAAACACTTCGCCTGAGCGTGCGAGCTTACTGATTCACTTCGATGTTGTACTTACCGAGAATCCGTCGGGCGACCACAATCTTGTGCACTTCGTCGGCCCCGTCGTAAATGCGGGCACCCCGTTCGTTGCGGAGGAACGTGGCCAAGGGAATGTCATCGGTGACACCCATCGCGCCGAAGGTTTGAATGGCCCGATCGATCACCTTGAGCAATACGTCGGCCACGAAGAACTTGATGCAGGAAACTTCCTCGCGGGCGTTCTCGAGGCCTTCATTGTCGATCTTCCAGGCGGCCTGAAGCACCATCAGGCGGGCGGCATTGATTTCGGCGCGGCTTTCGGCGATCCATGCCTGCACGATTTGCTTGGTACCCAGGGGCTTGCCGGGCGACATTTCACGCTCGGCCGCCCGTTGGCACATCAGGTCGAACGAGCGTTCGCAGATGCCGATCCACCGCATGCAGTGATGAATGCGGCCCGGGCCGAGCCGCTGTTGGGCGATGAGGAAGCCGGCTCCCTCGGGGCCGAGGCAGTTCGACTGCGGCACGCGGCAGTCTTCGTAGACCACTTCGGAGTGGCTGTCGTAGTCGTCGCCGGGATGTCCCATGATGGGGATGTTCCGCACGAGTTTGAAGCCGGGATTGTCGAGCGGGACGATGATCTGGCTGGCCCGACCGTGGCGTGGAGCATCGGGGTCGGTCACGGCCATCACGATGGCGAACGAGGCGCCAGCGGCCGACGAGGTGAACCACTTGCGGCCGTTGATCACATAGTCGTCGCCGTCCTTCACGGCCGTGGTGTCCATCCAGGTGGGATTCGAGCCGGGGCGATCGGGTTCGGTCATCGAGAAGCAGCTACGGGTGTCGCCGGCCAACAGTGGCTTGAGGAACTTCTCCTTCTGCTCGTCGGTACCGTGCTCGATGAGAATTTCCATATTGCCGGCATCGGGGGCCTGGCAGTTGAAGCAGTAATGGCCCAACGTGCTGCGGCCCAACACGGCGCTGACCAGGCCGTGGTCTTGTAGCGAGAGGCCCAGCCCGCCGTATTCTTTGGAGATTTGCGGGAGCCACAGACCGGCTTGTTTTACTTTCTCGCGAACCTCTCTGAGCTTCGGCACAGTGGCCTTGAACCCGTTGGCGGCCGCGTGTTCTTCGAGCGGGAGGATTTCCTTTTCCAGGATATCGCGAACGCGATCGAGCAGGTCTTGCGTTTCTTTGGGAATCGAAAAGTCCATGTCAGGCCGCCCGTTGTATGAGTCGTTGTGTTGGTTAGCGGTACGAAAGCAATTCGGGGTCGTTCAGGTGCGGCAGCGAGTTGAACCCGCTGAGCGTGAAGCGGTCGCCGGAGAACAGGAACTCGCTGAAGCTGGCGTTGCGCACCATCCAGGCCAGTTGTAGTGTGGTGGCGTGCGAAGTACTCAGTGCCCGTTGCATGGTGAGCCCGATGGGTCCTCCGGAGGTGAACACCGCGATTCGCCGCCGGCTTTTATCCGAGTGGGTGATCTGCTCCAGGCCTTTGTGTACCCGGCTGCAAAACGCATCCCACGGTTCGGCGCCGTCAATGGTGAACTCGCCGTCGATCCAGCGGAGAATCACGGCCTCGTACAACCGCTGGAATGTGCGGAGTTGCTCGGCGTGATCTTCCGCTTCTTTGAACGTATGTTGCAGTTTACGAATTTCGTCCGACTGTTCCATCAATTTCGGCACCGCAATCCGCATCACGGTTTCGGCGTCGTATTCGTCGAATGCTGCGAGCGTTTGCACCTCGGGCCAGTCGACCCCTGCTGCCTGATAGGCCTGGCCGGCGATGACGGCCGTGTCGATCTGACGACGACGGGGGCCGGTGTAGACCTCGTCGAACACGATCCCTCGCGAGGCCCAATACTCGCCCAACAGTTTCGACTGCTGATGACCTAGTTCCGAGAGACGGTCGTAGTCGTCGGACAAGAACGAGGCTTGCCCGTGCCGGATGACAAAGAGTGTGGCCATGTTGCAGGTTGCTTGTTGCGAGTTCGTTAGATCGTGTGCCCGGCGTCGACCGTGTAGACGCCACCGGTGCAGTAACCCGAGGCGGGGCTGCACAGGAAGAGGATCAGCGGCACGATCTCATCCGGTTCGGCCATGTACCCCAGCGGCAAGTGTTCGGTGAAGCGTTTGAGGATTTCATCGCTTTGCCACAGGGCGGCGCTGAACTTGGTTTTCACCAACCCTGGGCAGACGGCGTTCACGCGCACTTTGGCTCGACCCCATTCGCCGGCCAGCACCTTGCTGAGACTGATCAGCGCGGCCTTGCTCACACTGTAGATGCCCAAGCCCGGCTCGGGTCGCAGTCCGCCGATGCTGCTGATGTTGACGATGGCCCCTCCGCCGCGTTCGCTCATGCTTTCGAACACTCGCTTCGAAAGCTCGAAGGGTGCCCGCACGTTGACTTGCATGATCTTGTCGAAGGCCGCCGTGTCGGTGTTGAGCGAAGGGCCGAACGTGGGATTCACGGCCGCGTTGTTCACCAGGATGTCGACCCCGCCATAGGTATCGATGGCACGGGCCACCAGTTGATCTAGTTGTTCGAGATCGCCCACATGGCAGGCCACCCCGGTGGCTTCTCCGCCGGCGGCGCGAATCGACTCGGCCACCTCGTCGACGGCCTCTTGCTTGCGGCTGCTGACGATCACCTTGGCCCCGAACTCGGCCAACGCCCGAGCGGTTCCCTCGCCAATGCCCTTGCTGGCCCCCGTAACGATTGCGACCTTGCCCGAGAGATCGAACTTTTCTTTGTAGCTGACAGCCATCGCCTCGCCCGTGTGAAAAACACCTAGAGAAATCAACGCCAAACCGAGTCGGGCAGAGTACCATCCGCCCCACGGCGTGGCAAACGGCCCCAAGGGCCGGGATTTGGGGCCTGGATCCAATTCCTCAGCCTGCCTGCACGCGAGCAAAGTGGTGGCCCCCGGGGGGGACATGAGCCATACTGGAGGTTTACCCGCGGCTCCGTGGCAGGCGTGGCTTGGGTAGGTCCTTCCTCAAGAACAACTCCCCCTTAAACGAGAGATGATGAGCATGCTTCGGCAGAGCTTGGCTGTAATCGTTGCGTACGTACTGTGTGGATTTGGTGTGGCGTCTGGGGCCGATCAGCCTTGGGTGACTTACAAAGGGGGCGAAGGACCGGGGGCCGGCAAGCACGTGGTGCTGGTCAGCGGCGATGAAGAGTATCGCTCGGAAGAAGGTTTGCCGCAGTTGGGCAAGATCCTCGCCGCGCGACATGGATTCGATTGCACCGTGGTGTTCCCCATCGATCCGGACACCGGCGAGATCAATCCCAACCGGGGTGACAACATCCCGGGCATCGAGGCGCTCGACGACGCTGACCTGATGATCATCCTCACCCGGTTTCGTCATTTGCCCGACGAGCAGATGAAGCACGTCGACGCGTACCTTCGTGCGGGCAAGCCGGTGATCGGCATGCGAACCGCCACGCATGGCTTCAACACCAAAGACCCCGATTGGGCCCACTACAGCAACGGCTACGGTGGTGAGAAAAAAGAGTGGAAGGGTGGCTTCGGCCGATTGGTACTCGGCGAGATGTGGATCAGCCATCACGGGCACCACAAGAAAGAGTCGACCCGGGGAATCATCGTCGAGGGCGAAGAGGATAACCCGATTGTTCGCGGTATCGAACCGGGTGCGATTTGGGGCGATACCGACGTCTACGGTGTGCGGCTTCCCTTGCCGGGCGACAGTCAACCAATCGTGCTGGGCCAGGTTCTCACGGGCATGAACCCCGACGATCCTCCGGTGAAAGGGGCGAACAACGACCCCATGATGCCGGTGGCGTGGACCAAGAGCTATCAACTACCCGGCGGGGAAAAGGGACAAGCCTTCAATACCACCATGGGTGCGGCGACCGATCTCGAGGCCGAAGGCACCCGGCAGATGTTAGTCAACGCGGTGTATTGGATTCTGGGGATGGAAGATCAGATCCCGGCCTCTGGAACCGACGTGGCGTTGGTCGGCGACTACGACCCTTCTGACTATGGGTTCAACGGTTTCAAGAAGGGCGTGAAGCCGAGCGAGCATGCGTTCGACACGACGAATGTTAAGGCTGCCTCGGGCGGGGCTGCGAAAGCTTCTTTCTCGCTCAACAAAGGCGACCACATCAGCATCATTGGCAACACGCTGGGCGAGCGGATGCAGCACGATGGGTGGTTGGAGACGTTCCTGCAGCATCGCTTCCCCGAGCACGAACTGGTGCTGCGGAACATGGCCTTCTCGGCCGATGAACTTACCGTGCGGCAACGCTCCGATGGGTTCGGCTCGCCCGACGAATGGCTGGGCAAGAACGAAACCGACGTCGTGTTCGCGTTCTGGGGTTTCAACGAGTCGTTCGCTGGTGCCGATGGGCTGGAGAAGTTCAAGCAGGACCTGGCCGAGTTCATCAAGCACACCCGTGAGCAGAAGTACAACGGAGAGTCGGCCCCAAGGATCGTGCTGTTCACACCCATCGCGTTCGAGAATCTGAATACGCCGAACCTGCCTGATGGCAGCGAAGCGAATAAGAACATCGCACTCTATGCCCAGGCGATGCGGGAGGTAGCAAACGAGCACGACGTGACGCTGGTCGATTTGCTTCCGATCAGTGAACAACTGCTCGAAGAGTCAGACGCCCCGCTGACGATCAACGGAATTCACCTGAATGAAGAGGGGAACCGGCTGATTGGTCAGGCGATTGACGAAGCGCTCTTTGGCGAAGCACCGGCCGTGGAAGATTCGGCGCGGCTGGAAGCGATTCGTCAGGCGGTGTTGGACAAGAACTTCTACTGGTACCACCGCTATCGGGCGACCGATGGGTATTCGAGCTTCGGTGGGCGTTCGTACCTGAAGTTTGTCGACGACCAGACCAACCGCGAGGTGATGCTGCGTGAGTTGGCCATCATCGTGCAGTTGGCCGACAACCGCGACCCGGTGATTTGGGCCGCCGCCCAGGGCGAAGAGATCGACATCGATCTCGACAAGACCGAAGACTTCATTCCGGTGAAGACCAATAAGCCGGGCGAGGGCCCCAATGGCGAGCACATCTACCTGGGTGGCGAAGAGGCCATCGAGAAGATGACCGTGGCCGACGGGATGCAGGTGAACCTGTTCGCCTCGGAAGAGATGTTCCCCGAGTTGATCAACCCGGTGCAAATGGCTTTCGACACCGAGGGCCAACTGTGGGTCGCCACCTGGCCCAGCTATCCGCACTGGAAGCCGAAGACAGAAATGAACGACCGGCTGCTGATTTTGAAAGACACCGACGGCGATGGCAAAGCCGACCGTTGCGATACGTTCGCCGACGGATTGCACAACCCCACCGGTTTCGAGTTTTGGAACGGTGGCGTTCTCGTGGCGATGGCTCCCGACTTGTTGTTCTTGAAAGACACCAACGGCGACGGCAAGGCCGACCTGCGGAAGCGGGTCCTTCACGGGCTCGATTCGGCCGACACCCACCACACGGCCAACAGCTTCACGTTCGATCCCGGCGGGTCGCTGTACTTCCAGGAAGGCGTGTTCCACCGCACACAGGTTGAAACGCCTTATGGGCCCTTGCGAAACCGAGACGCCTGCGTGTGGCGGTTCAATCCCCGCACGTATAACTTGCAGCGATACGCCTCCTACGGGTTTGCCAACCCGCACGGGCACGTATTCGACGGCTGGGGCGAAGACATCATTCACGACGGAACCGGCGCTCAGGCCTATCCGGGTGCGGCCATCTCGGGCCACCTCGAATTTCCGGACAAGCATCCGGGCGCCCCACAGGTGTATCGGCAACGAACGCGACCTTGCCCGGCGACTGAGATCCTCTCCAGCAAGCACTTCCCCAAAGAGAACCAGGGCAACCTGCTGGTGGGCAACGTGATCGGCTTCCAGGGCATTCTGCAATACAAGCTCGACGAGAGCCAAGCTTGCTTGACGGGTGAGGAAGTGGAACCGATCGTGTTCTCGTCCGATCCCAACTTCCGCCCGGCTGATATTGAAGTGGGTTCCGACGGGGCATTGTACTTCACCGATTGGCAGAACCCGGTGATCGGCCATATGCAACACAACCTGCGAGACCCCAGCCGCGATCAAACCCACGGCCGCGTGTACCGCGTGACGTGCAAGGATCGCCCGTTGACCAAGGTGGCCAAGATTGCCGGCGAGCCGATTCCCGCGCTGCTGGAGTTGTTGAAAGACAGCGACAATCGCGTTCGCTATCGCACTCGCATTGAACTGAGTGGTCGCGATACCGACGAAGTGATTGCGGCCGTGAACGAATGGGTAGCATCGCTGGGCGACGATCCGGCGAACGAGCACCATCTGCTCGAAGCCCTGTGGGTGCAGCAACATCACAACGTGGTAAACGAGTCGCTGCTGCTGCGGTTGCTCAGCGCCGAAGACTTCCGCGCCCGGGCTGCCGCCACGCGGGTGTTGTGCGACTGGCGCGATCGCGTGCCCAGCTCGCTGGAGTTGCTGCGAACGCTGGCCGCCGACGAGAACCCTCGCGTGCGACTCGAAGCGGTCCGTGCGGCCAGTTTCTTCACCGCGCCCGAGACGGTTGAAGTCGCGATCATCGCCGACGAACAGCCCAGCGACCAATTCCTACGGTACGTGCAACGCGAGACAATGCGGACGCTGGAGCCGATTTTCCAACGGGCCCTTGATTCCAATCAGCCCATCGCCATGACCACCGAGGCCGGCAAGCGTTACCTGGTTGAGAAACTCACGCTCGATCAATTGCTGGCTCGTGAACGGACCCCGATTGAATATCGCGAGTTGCTACATCGCCCCGGCGTGCAGGTCGATTTGCGAAAGGAAGCGCTGGCCGGTCTGGCCGCCGCGGAGAATCGCGACGAGTTGTCGATGCTATTGGAGTTGATTCACGAACTGGACGAACAAGACGATGTCGACCAGACCGTGGTGGTCGATTTGGTGCACCTGTTGGCGATGCGACCGACCGACGAGTTGGCCCGCTCCCGCGACGAAATGCAGCGGTTGGCCACGAACGCTCAGAATCGCGTGCTCCGCGAAATTGCCTTCGCCACGATGATTGAAGTCGATGGCTCGATCGACGAGGCCTGGAACCTGGCGATTCAGTCGGTGCCGGGTGTCTACGACCTGGTGAATGCCACGCCGTGGGTATCGAACCCCGCACTTCGCGCCCAGTTGTACCCCAAGCTTGAACCGTTACTGGAAAAGTTGCCCGGGTTACTCTCGGCCGTATCGAACGTGGGCGATGGCCCGATGGGGCGATTCGTACGGATTGAACTTCCCCGCGATGGCACCCTGACGCTGGCCGAAGTGGAAGTGTATAGCGACGACCAAAACATTGCCCGCAAGGGCAGGGCGTCGCAGAAGAACACCTCCAACGGCGGCGAAGCCTCGCGGGCGATCGACGGGAGGACCGACGGTTCGTACGGCTCTGGCACGCAAACCCACACGAAGGAAAACACCTCGAACCCCTGGTGGCAGGTCGACCTGGGTGAGGAGTACCCCATCGACCGCGTGGTGGTGTTCAACCGCACCGAAGGTTCGTTGGGCGAACGCATAGAAGGCTTCACGCTGAGGGTGCTCGATCAACGTCGCGATGAAGTCTATCGCCAGGAAGGTATCGCAGCCCCCAAAGTGAAGGCCGAGTTGGAACTCGAAGGCGGCGGTTCCGCCTCGCGGGTGCGTCGCGCGGCGATGGCCGCCATGACGCACGTGCGGGGGCAAGAGACCGCCACGTTCCATACGCTGGCCAGTTTCATTCTCGATCAGGTGAACAGCCGTAGCGAAAGCGGAGGGTTTTCGGCCGATGCGTTGGCCGCCGTGCGAGCCATCCAGCGGATCGATCCTCAGTACTGGGGCGCCGAACATGCCGAGCCGCTACTGGCGGTGATGATCGAACAGGTGCGAAACACCCCGGCCGAAGACCGCACTTCGGCGGCCACGCTCGACGTGATGGAGTTGGCCGACAACCTGGCGTCGCTACTGCCGGTGGAGCAAGCCCGCAGTGTTCGCAGCGAGTTGCGCGACTTGGGCGTACGCGTGATTCGCATCGGTACCTTGCCCGAGCGGATGTCGTACGACAAGGAGATGATCGCCGTGGCCGCCGGGAAGCCGGTCGAGTTCGTGTTCCAAAACGACGACCTCATGCCACACAACCTGGTCATCACGCAGCCGGGGGCTTTGGAAGAAGTCGGCATGTTGGCCGAGTCCACAGCCCAAGACCCTGGAGCGTTGGCTCGACAGTACATTCCCCCGTCTGACAAGTTGCTGTTAACCAGTCAGTTGCTACACGCGGGCCAAACCCAGAAGCTCAGCTTCACGGCTCCCAGCGAGCCGGGGGTTTATCCGTATGTGTGCACCTACCCCGGTCACTGGCGGCGGATGTACGGGGCTCTGTACGTGGTGGCCGATCTCGATGCGTACCTGGCCTCGCCGGAGGAGTACCTCGAAGCGAACCCGCTGCCGATCAAAGACGAATTGCTGAAGGATCACCGTCCGCGAACCGAGTGGAAGTTCGACGACCTGGCGGCCGTGGTCGGTGGGTTGAGCGAAGGCCGCTCGGCCGGGAATGCCCAACAGATGTTCAAGGCTGCCAACTGCGTGTCGTGCCACCGCCTCAACGAGACGGGTCAGGAGATCGGGCCCGACCTGTCGAAGCTCGATGCGAAGTACCAGCCGCTCGATATTCTTCGCGAGTTGCTGGAGCCTTCGGCCAAGATCAATGAGAATTATCAAACCTGGACGTTCATCACCGACGCCGGTGAAGTCGTCACCGGGTTGGTGCTCGAAGAGACGGCCACCACGGTGAAGGTGATCGAGAACCCGTTGAGCAAGGCCGACCCCGTGGTGCTCGACAAGTCGGAGATCGACGAACGGGAGAAGTCGAACGTGTCGATCATGCCCAAGGGTCTGCTCGACAAGCTGAACCAGGACGAGATTCTCGACCTGATCGCCTACATCGCCGCGCGAGGAGATACCAAGCACGAGTATTTCCAAGGCGAACACGCAGGGCACCACCATGGCGGCAAGTAACGCAGAGGACTTTGCCGGCGAGGAAGATAAAACCGAACCCGTCGCTGCGGTTCACAACAACCGTGGCGAACGTTTCAGCAAGTTCGTTTTAATCTTCCTGCTGGCGTGGCTGGCTTTGGCGTACTTGCTACTCCCCATGGCGTGGAAAGAGTATGCCCATCACCGCCCTTCGTTCGACAACAACCCACGGATTACCCACACCGGCGACCATCACCCGGGCGATCCGTTGAACGTGGCGTTTGTCGGCACGCAGGCCCAACTCGAGCAGGCCATGCAGGCGGCCAAGTGGTATCCGGCGGCCGCGCTGGGGTTGCGCAGCGATTTGAAGATCGCGGCCGATTCGGTTCTCTCGCGGCCCGACGATGAAGCGCCCGTGAGCAGCCTTTACCTGTTCGGGCGGAAAGAAGACCTGGCGTTCGAACAGCCCGTGGGCGACAACCCCCGCCATCGCCATCATGTGCGGTTATGGAAGACGCCCAAGCAGTCCGCAGACGGCAGCCCGCAGTGGATCGGTTCGGCGGTGTACGACGAACGCGTCGGCCTGAGCCGCACCACCGGCCAAATCACCCACGTGACGGCCCCCGATGTCGATACCGAACGCGACTACCTCTTCGCCTGCCTCGAAAAGACCGGTGACATCACGGACCACTACGTCATCCCCGACTTCCACAAGAAACTAGAAGGCCGCAACGGCGGCGGCGACTTGTGGCGCACCGACGGAAGTTTGTACGTGGGGGTATTTGGGGCAGGGGACACACCGAAGTAGTTTCGGCGGCCGCACTAGCTGAACTGAATATCTGATAGTGCAAAAGGAAAAGCATCCGTGAGTTACATCATGGTCGATATCGAAGCAGATGGGCCGATTCCCGGCGATTACTCGATGGTGTGCTTTGGGGCGATTGTCGTAGAACCATCCCTTTCGAAAACCTTTTACGGCAGGCTCAAGCCTATCTCAGAGGAGTGGATTCCAGATGCGTTGAAAGTGTCGGGGTTCTCGCGCGAGGAGACCATGAGTTTTGAGGAGCCGAAGGCGGTTATGGAAGAGTTCGCCGAATGGATTAATTCTCACACCGTGGGACAACCTATCTTCATCTCCGACAACAACGGATTCGATTGGCAGTTCATCAATTGGTATTTGCACCACTTCGTTGGTCGCAATCCGTTCGGCTTCTCGTCGACAAACCTGGGATCGCTATACAAGGGGATCGTGCGAGACACTTCCAAGAACTTCAAAAATCTCAGGAAAACGAAGCATACCCATCATCCTGTGGATGACGCGCGAGGGAATGCAGAGGCACTGCTTCAGATCAAAGAAGAGTTCGATTTGAGAATCAGCTTGAAGTGATGTCCGTTGGACGCGAGGGTTAGAAAGAATGGCTCAGTATCCGACCCGATAGTTCTTCAATGCCAGGGTTTCGCCGGTCTTGCTGTCGAGCACTTCGACGTAGTCGCAGTAGCTTTCTCTGCCGGTAATGATTACTGCGGCCCCTGGCAGGCCACCTTCGATTTCCCCTCCGCGAGATAGGCCAAGCTTCACAAAGTTGGCGTACCCGGAATGCCCGCGGGGTTGTTCGTGGTGCAATGCTGTCCGCCAGCACTCCTTTCCACTTGTGAGATCGTAAGCGACGACAGTACAGCCCGTTGCCGTTGTGCCGTACTTGGCGAAGTAGAGAGCATCTCCGCTCGTAGTAAATGCGGAATGCAGGTGCCCTTGTATCTCAACCTTGTTCTCACTCCCGCATTCAAATTCAAACCCCATCCTGCCAGGGTGACCGGGGTCATAGATCATCTTCAGGATATTCTTGGATTCCAGGAACATCAGCGAATGCAAGATCCCGTTGTATTCCTTCGGAACTTTCGGAAACCGGAATTCCCTTTCCTCCAGCCGTTCGCTCCACGCTTTCTTCCGATCTTCAAGACTCAAGGGTTCTTCGGCGAGGGACGAGCCCACCATCGCATAGACGGCGACCGTTGCGAGTAATGAGGTCCGAAGTGTGAACATTCGTTCTACCCCTTCTGTTGCTTGGACTTGAAAGCTCAAAGATTCGGAATCGTGTCGCTGCGAATGTCGCAATGCGACTCCGGGTGGCGTCAAACTCAGTATAACCGGCACACCACGACGGATATTCCAGCTCTTCCCCCCGCCGCGCCCCTCTTCGTGGGATTTCTCCCTTCTGGCGCGTGCTAGACTTCCGACGGGGCTGATTGCATCTTTGAGAGCGCATCCTGCCGATTCTGCCTGCCGAGTTGATTGCACTTCTGATGAGACCCTGGTAAGGGACGACGGCCGCCAGCGAGAAACTGATGCGGCTGCCCGAGCCTGGTCGATTCAAAGCGTTAACCGTACGGACTGCCGTCGGGCACGGACGCGCCCTTGGTAGCGGCCTCGCCATTGGAACAGGCGAACGCTGCGTACATCCTCCCCCAGTTGCGCGTGTGTCGATGCTCGAAGAGCGAAGTCTCAAAGTTGATCTTATTGCGCTGGGCCTGATGGTCCTGTGTATCTTTTTCGCCCTGGCGCTGGCCACTTACGACCCGGCCGATGCGCCCAGTACGATCGTGTACCCCCAGCATGAAAAGATCGCCAACGTGTGCGGTCATGCGGGTGCCTGGGTGGCGGCCATGTCGCTTACGGCCTTTGGGCTGGGGGCGTACTACCTGGTCGGTTCGTTGATTGTGCTGGACGCCGTGTTGTTGGTTCGCCGTGGGGTGACCGAACCGTGGGTGCGATCCATCGGGTGGATTGTGTCGCTGGTCGGGGTTACCACGCTGGCCGCCATGGCTGCGCCGTGGTTGTCGCCCGGGCCGGTGATCGGTTCCGGCGGATATTTAGGAGCCATCGTCGGGGGGCTGTTGCAGCCGCACTTCGCCGACGTGGGGGCCTACGTGCTGGCCGGCAGTTTGGTCGCCGGCGGGTTGCTGCTTTGTACCGATTATGTGCTGCTGAACCTGGCGGCCGTGATCGTGGGCAAACCAACCGTGGGCGTGGGTCGGGGCCTGGTCCGCGCCGGGAAGGCCGTCCGCTCGCGTGGCGGTAAGGCCGACAACCCGGCACGGCTGAAGCCGTCTGCGGCCCAGGTCGAAGACGAACTCGAGGACGAAGAAGAAGAGTACGAAGAGGTCGACGAGCCCGAGGTGCGGATCGGCGGCGAGATCGAAGAAGAGGAATACGAGGACGAAGACGAAGAAGTCGAAGCCGAGTACGAAGAAGAAGAGGAGGCCGAAGAGCCCAAGCCCCAGCCGGGCGTGGCCCGCCGGTTGGCCTCTGCACTGCGAATCAAGGGCCCCAAAGATCGCCCCTCGCGAGAAGAGGTGCTCGAAGAGATCGAAGCGGCCAGCCGTCACGAGGACGACGGCGACTACGAACTGCCCCCGCTCGACTTGCTACTCGAGGGCGAGGACTTCTCGTTCGAAGAACAACGCAAAGACGTGCGGCGAAAGGCCAAGATTCTCGAGAAGACCTTCGCCAGCTTCGGTTTCCAGGTTCGCGTGGTCGAGATCGAGTCGGGCCCCGTGATTGCCCAGTTCGAGGTCGAGCTGGAAGCCGGCCTGCGGCTCAGCAAGATCACGAGCCTGGCCGACGATTTGGCCATCGCCCTGCGGGTGCCCAGCGTGAGAATCGTGGCCCCCATCCCCGGGAAGAACACCGTGGGGATCGAGGTTCCCAACAACGAGCGGCAATTGGTCCGCATGCGCGAGGTGATGGAAGAGTCGAGCAACAAGGTGGCCAAGATGGCGTTGCCCTTGTTCCTGGGCAAAGACGTCGCCGGCCGTGCCCTGGTGGCCGACCTGGCGAGCCTGCCGCACTTGCTCATCGCCGGCCGCACGGGTACCGGAAAAAGCGTGTGCTTGAACACGGTGATCAACTCGCTGCTGATGACCCGTCGCCCCGACGAGGTGAAGCTGCTGTTGATCGACCCCAAGATGGTCGAACTGAGCGGTTACAAAACTCTGCCCCACCTGATGCACCCCGTGGTGACCGACATGGGCAAGGCCGAAGCCATCCTGGCCTGGGCCGTGGAAAAAATGGAAGAGCGTTACGCCCTGTTGGCCCGGGCCGGGGTGCGACACCTCAGCGTGTACAACCAGTTGGGCGAAGAGGAACTCCGCGAACGGCTGGAACTCGAGAGCGAGGAAGAGTGGGAGCAGATCCCCTCGCACCTGCCGTATATCGTGGTGGTGGCCGACGAAATCGCCGACTTGATGATGACGGCAGCCAAGGAAGTCGAACAGCACATTATCCGCCTGGCACAAAAGAGCCGTGCGGTGGGCATCCACCTGGTGTTGGCCACGCAGAAACCAACGGTCGACGTCATCACGGGCCTCATCAAGTCGAACTTGCCGGCACGTATTTCGTTCCAGGTGGCCAGCCGTACCGATAGCCGCGTGGTGCTCGATGAAATGGGTGCCGACAAACTGTTGGGCAACGGTGACATGCTGTTCCTGTGGCCGGGAACCAGCACGTTGTTGCGTGGGCAGTGTACGTACATCAGCGATGACGAAATCAACTCGATCATCGATTACGTCGGCACCAACGAACCACAGTTCGTCCGCGAACTGGTGCAGTTGCCGGCCAGCGGTGAGGGTGGCGGGGGGATCAGCAACTTCAAAGACCGCGACGAACTGTATGAAGCGGCCGTCGATGTGGTGGTCCGCGAGGGGCGGGGTAGCGTCTCGTTGCTGCAGCGATCGCTGGGCATCGGCTACGGTCGGGCCGCGCGATTGATCGACTACATGGCCGAAGACGGGTTCGTCGGACAATACAACGGTTCCCAAGCCCGCGAGGTGATGCTCACTCCCGAGCAATGGGACGAGATGCAGAACTCCGACGGGGCCGCACCCGCGGTGGCCACTGTGCCGACACCCAAGAGTAAGCCCATCGCTCCCAAGGAGCCGAGTAAGTCGAAGAAGCCATCGCGAAGCACCTCGCTGAAGATGAAGCCGGACGAAGAGGAAGATGAATACGAAGAAGAGGTTGAAGACGAATTAGAAGACGCGGAGGACGGCGACGAGTACGAAGAGGTCGAGGACGAATCGGAGGAACTCGCCCCCTGGGAAGAAGCCGACGCCGAAGATGAGTACGAAGAAGAAGAGGAAGACGAAGAGGCCGACGAAGACGAGGACGAGTGGGAAGACGAAGAGGACGATGCAGCGGCCGCCGAGTATGAAGAGGACGAATTCGAAGAGCCTGAAGAGGCAGCCGAGGCCGAAGAGCCCGTGCGGCGGAACGTCCAGCGTCGGCGAAAACGGGCCTAGCACCCGGGGTTTCGGAGGCCCGGTGCGGCGGTCGTCGGTCGAGGGCCTTACCGAGCGTCGGCCGCGAAACGATTGACTTTCGCCCGGATGGGGCGTATGGTTTTGATCATAGTGATTTTTCCTGTTGCCCCGATCGTGCCATGAACCCTTTCGATAGCAACCAGCCCTCGCGAGTCGTTTCCGACGTGCCCGTTATTAACGCGGCCGCGATTGGCATTATTGCGATTATTCGAGGGGGGAGGCCTTAAGGGCGGCAACGGATCCGTACGATCTACAACAGCCCTGAGGCCCAAGCGGTCGCAGGGCTTTTTGCTTTTATACGGTAGCTACTTTCCAGTGTGTGCAAGAATTGACTGAGGTGAGTCACTCGAAGTGTTATCGGGCCTGAATTGAGGGTTCCACGGTTGGCTTGTTCAACCGTGAAAGACGCACTGCTGGGCGAGCCAGCAGTGGCACCCACGAGACGGTTTTCAACACTTCACGAGCTCGCCAGCAACGACAACTAGCCAC